GGCGTATAAATTCTTGGCATATTTCTCTGAGGATGTTGTAGAGTTTTATTTACCTGTTTTCAAGGATGGAGGGGAGGGGGATGAGAGAGTGAGGGAATCCTTGGAAAGAAGTTTCATGTGACATCAACAATGGAACCTAGCGGGTAGGCATGGTTGCTGGTGTGGGGCATGTGTTCACAGCCAAATTATTGTTAATTATCTTGACTTATCAATGAACTTCCAGAAACGACATTTTAGTAACTTTACTATCGAGTTATATATGAAATTGATCATCTGAGAGAAACCACTTGCATCCGAAGAAAATCCATGCATGGATTGGAAGCAGTATGGTCTTGGGCCTTGGGCTCCAGGTGCATATTCCTGTCTTTGGCCTCTTGAGTGACCATGAGCAAAATCATTTCCTGTCCTGTGTGTGTTTCCCCCTTTGTAATATGGGAACGGGTGATGCTGCCCTTTTTCATAAAGCGGTTTGCGATCGATGGGTGAAAAGTCTATTTATAGAAAAACGTGTATAAGAGTCGCTTCCTGCTTTCCCTCTTCCCATGTAACAGGAAAGTAAAAAAGCTTTCTTGCCTCTTACAGTAGCCTCTGCTTTATAGGTAATTCTCTGTAAAAGCTTGACTGCTCTTCGCCTTTGGCAAATAGAACCCAACTGTTAACATTATGAGCTCTTTAAGAACCTTTAAATAAATGTGTGTAATAAAATGATTCCTCCAGAGAAGCAAGGGAGGAGGGGGGAGACAACCATTCAATTTCCAACAACAAGCAGCCAGGTCGAGAGTAAAGACTGTGACCAGAGTAATGTCTGGATCTCTGCCTCCCTGTAATCACTGTGCAGAGTGGGAAAAACCTGGCTACGTTAATGTGGCTTTGCAAGCAAGGCAGAGACCTGCTGGATCACCTTCTTCATGCTAGGAGAGAGGCCTGGCAAAGTGACCCATAACAAAGGAATAAACTGGGGAGAGCCGGCACCATCTGAGCTTTGCTAATAGGAACTTTCAGGACTCCATCTTCCCATAGCTCGGGGCCGTGGCGATGACAGCATAGAGCCAGGCAGAACTGCACAATGATCTATAGGGAATAAATGACTGTACAGATTTTTCTCTTCCTAAGAGATTTTTTCCCCCTTGATGTATTCATCATTCAAAATACTTTCCATGAATGGTCCTGGGCAGGAAGGGTGGTTTTCTGTTGGTTGGTTTGTTTCTTCGCTCGCTTGTTTGTATTGCCAGCATTTCATTTGGGGTGTTGGACATTTGAGCTATGGTGGTTAGAGTTGACTGGAGGCAGGTCATGGAGCATTGTTTCTGTTCACTGGCTGGATTAGTGTAACCCTTCCAACCCGGGCTGCAGAGGCAGTGAAGTTCCCGATGCACCTTCTGAAAAAAGTCTTGGGTGCTTTTTAACTCTCACCACTTAGGGGAATGTTCCTGCCAATGTACTCGCTTGCTAAACTATACATGGAAAGTGATGCGGACACAGTCGGGGACAAGCAAATTATTATGATTCTTCAATTCAAGTGACTGTTCCTGGGGGATATAGCGGGGGTGAGGTTGTCTCATCTCTGGTGATGAAATATATGGCATGTGAGGGTGTCACCCAAGATATTAGGGCGATAAGACCAAGAGAAAAGCCCGCGTAGGAGAGAGGCTGACAAACGGCCCCAGTCCTGAAAGTTTTCTCCGCTGATTTCATAGGCTCCATTTGCAGATCATACAAATCAGATTTGCTGCTACAATTTTTATGCTGGGGGAATGGAGCAAGCCCAGTTTTCTGCAACATGCGTGAAGATTTCCCCAGAGAGTCTGGACCTGGATCTCTGTCACATCCCTGGTGTTTGCTACAATTAAGCACATGAGTAACTCAATTTATGGGAACTGTTTGATTGAACCAAGTGTCTCTGCTCAAAGTTTTTTACAGATTAGATGGTACAAAATGTAGAGCAAAGTCAGCAAGTTCTGAAAAATCATTTAATGTTAGTAAATTGCAGTTGCCCCTCTGAGATTCCACTTTATTTATGTTTTGAGTCTTTCTGTATTTCCATACATGAATCTTTCTATTTCACTGATGTCTGGGGTTATCTCGGTCCAATTCTATTTAAAAGGACTTTGAACATAATTTAAATCGTATCATTTAATGTGACACTGTTTGTCACCCACTCTTAGAAACCAAAATCTGTTTTACTAGAAACATTTTCCTCCCTCCAATGTGCACGCCCATTTGTTATTGAGGAGGGCAGTGCCTACCTAGTAGGCTATGGCATTGATCTATGGAACCAGAGCCCTTGAGGACAAAGCCCAGGACCACCTCTTTGCTCTGTTTGTACAGTGCCTTGCTCATGACTAGGTGACCTAACAACAATAACTGTGTGTGTGTGTGTGTGTGTGTATCCTGGAAATAAATGAATATGTAGGAAAATGTCCCTGATATACTCCTTTTGAAAAAGTCACCAAAATACTTGGAAGGACTTTAACGACTGTAGCAAAATTAAGAGCTAGGATGCTACATTTTGAGTCTACTGTACTGAATGGGATTCTGCATTCCACAAGCAAACTCCTATTTTATGTTAGAATTTTTATTATTTTTATGACCATGGCATCTAGGAGCCCCAGCCATGGACTAAGGCCCCATTGTTCTAGGAGCTGCACAAATACAGAACAACCAGTGGAAATTTTCAGTACTTTGAAAAAGCAGGATTGAGCAAGACCAGACATCATTAAATAAAATATTTATTGTTTTAGAGGAGTAAGGAGGGGGAAGTGCTCTCTTATCACATTATTTTTCCCAAGTCACTTTCATGTTAGTTACCAGTAACTTTATTTTCAAGCTGTTTTCAGGACACATGGTAAGAAATCTATGGGCGGTGTAGTTTCCTTGACAAGCTGAAGGCTCCGAAGTAACCAATGAACTGAAAATGCAGCTGGATGGTTATTAGACAATCTCATTATTTTAGTGCACAACTGTGACCAAGCTCATGATCAAAATTCATTTTTCAGCATTAAAGAACTTTCCTTTTAATTCAGCGTCCTTGTCTATAAAAATAAACCCAGTGATCTTCAGTCATTGAAAGAAATTGCATTTTGCCCTATTGTCATGTCTTTACAATAGTCACCCTTAGATTTAAGAGTATTTGCCATGTAATGTATATATTTAGAACTATACACACCCCCGAAAGGATGACTGGCTGTACACTGGAGGTGACCTGGGAATAATTTAAAAGTGCATTAAAATCAGATCCTGGGCCTGCAGATATTGATACAAGCGCAGCGCTGTAAATCCCAAACATTCAACATCTTTGAGTTGTGGTTCAAAAAATAATCAGATTGTAAAAAAAAAAAAAAAAATAGTACCTTTTGTCTGCTGAGTTTTTTTTTCTTCACCTTTAGGGTGTATTTGGCTCACATTTTTGGGCTTTCCTCTCTTACCATGAGAGCTAGAAATAGAACTTTTGTAAATGAAACCTGAGATTTGTCATATAGTCACTTACTCCCGGGGCTGAGAATTTAAGTGGGGGAAAACCAACAAATGTCACAAGATTTGTGACACAATCCATAACAGCTGACAACAGGCAACCCTGCTTTACACACTGCCTGTAGCTGGCTACTAGCAAGGGAACTATTGAATGTGTATGAGGTTAAGCGCATGCCTAAATGATTGAAAATTGAGGGCTGACTATCCGTCCATAATGAAAGTGCAGCACTACAATGCAGCATAACCTTCTATGGAGGGAACTCAGAAGGTCAAATCGCCGTCTCCCTCTGACAGTTTTCCAGCCTTATACATTTTCCTCCCTTCTGGTTTTTAAAGCTGGGGGATGGGAGACACTATGAACTTTGCAACATGCCCCGAAGATCATCAGAATTGGGCTTTTTGGACCAAAGTCCAAATAATCTGCTCTGACTTGAAACAAACTTTCACAAGCTCTTCCCCATCTTGGTCTGCCAGAGCCCGGAGTTGTGAGGCAGCTGGGCCTCTTTACTCAGGTGCTGGAGAAGGCAGCAGAATCTCAGGAAGGCTTGGGAGTAAGTTGTGAGTTTCACTATTAGTGCCGAGCTAAAATAGGTACTGTTAGACAGCTATTGTTGGATGCCACTTGTAAAGCACCTGCCGCAGTCTGGGTCTCGAAGAAGGCAATGCTCTCTGTTGTTGACGCTCCAAATGATCCTCAGTTCTTTTGGGGGTGAGTCAACAGTGCCAGCTGAAGGAGCGTAGAACAGAGGCTAGGGAAAATGAAAAGTATCCAGTTGTCACCAAATCAGAAATCTCTCACCGCTGTGTTTCTGTAGGGAACTCCCATTAAGGAATTCAATGCGCACACACACCATCAAGGGGCGTGATCAGTTCTGTTACTACTTCTACTTTATGCTTCTTTTGGACCATGAATCCAAGGATCTCTAAAGGCTTCATTAAGTCTCACAATGTCCCTGTGAGGCAAGCAAGTTTTATTCTTTTTCTTTTACCTATGGGTAAACTGAGCCAGAAATGGAAATTGCGTGGCTATACAGTGGGGGGACTGGAAATAGAACCTAGAACTCCTGATTCTGAGCCCCCTGGCTGGGCAACATTACCAAATGTAACTTCTCAGCCAGCTGAGGTTACTCTGACTGGAAGTGGGCTGTGGCAGAAAGGAAGAAGTAAATGTGTAGATCAAATCTCAGAGGATCAGATTCAGATTAAGGGACTGATCCTGCCCTCTTCTGAGGGAGGGGTAACTCTGCCCTTTCAGGGGAACAGGATAGGATCTGTTTTTGAGGAGTGTCATAGGTAGAGTGATTTTTTTTTTTTTTTTAAGTAACACTACCTAGCTTAGGCAGTTGTGAAGAAATCCTGTTGTGGGGTCTTTGTGCCCATCTGTAATGGACTCTGGGTTCACCCCAAAGTCCTTATGCTGCACCTGTGAGTAACAGATGCTTAGCAATCAGCCTGAGGTTTTGTCATTGGAAAGAACTCACTCCGGGCACCTCCCATGGTCCCAATTAACTGTTGGTTTCCCCCTGTAGTGAGGACCCCTGGCGGGCTGCGAAAATGATCAAGGGTTACATGCAACAGCACAACATCCCCCAGAGGGAGGTGGTGGATGTGACAGGCCTGAACCAGTCTCACCTCTCGCAGCACCTCAACAAGGGAACGCCCATGAAAACGCAGAAGCGGGCGGCACTCTACACGTGGTACGTCCGGAAGCAGAGGGAGATTCTCAGACGTAAGTACTCGGCTCGAGGCATTCTTGTTTCTTCTGGCTTTCTCACAGCATGCAGATCTGTGCAGAGAAGTAACCGGTTCCTGGGGCTTCATGTGTCTGTTGTTACCTCTGTTCAGTCAAGCGCATGTTTGGCTTTAAACCCAGGATTCAGTAGGGCCACATGGTTAAAGTCAAGCATGTGCTGAAGTGCCTGGCTACATAGGAATGGATTTACAGGTTTAAAGTTAATCATGTGATACAAGGCATTGCTGAATCAGACTTGAGTGTCTCAGGGAACGTCTATACTGCATGGTTATTTCGGGATACCAGAGGATACCATCTACACATGCTGTCTGTTATTTCAAAATATTTTTCGAAATAATGAGCGTGCTATTTCACCACCTCGGTAAACCTTGTTGCACAAAGGATAATGAATGGCTCTAAATAATGCATTATTTTGAAATTTGATGCTGTGTAGACGCGCCAAATTTCAAAATAAGCTATTTTTAAAAAGATTCAAAATAAGATCCGCAATTTGCGCAGCACAAATTGCATATCTTATTTTGAGGTTAGGGTGCCGTGAAAATGCTCCCTCAGTGACTTTCGTATCAAATGTTCTCAATCCACCAATAAGATGAAGCAGAGATAAAATTATCCCCCTTTTTCATGCTCCAATCAGAGTTTATTTTCTTCCAGACACATTTCATGTCTTGAGCATCCATCATGTTCTCATTTAGCTGGCCATGGGACCACCATAGCTTCTTGGTAGTGCCATTGCTCAAAGGTTTCGAAGGGGAGGCTGTGTTAGACTGTAACTTTAAAAATAACGAGTAGTCCTGTGGCACCTTAGAGACTAACCAAAATAGGATGCTTGCCTGAGGAAGAAGGTTTTTCCCATGAAAGCTCGTGATTTTATTTATATATATATATATATATATATATATATGTTAGTCTCTAAGGGTATGTCTACACTAGCTGCCTAGTTTGAACTAGGGAGGCTAAGGTAGGCATTCGAAGTTGCAAATGAAGCCCGGGATTTAAATATCCCGGGCTTTATTTGCATCTTCCCATCTGGGCGCCACTTTTAAATTCCCCTAGTCCAAACTAACTGCCCGCGGCTACACGTGACAGTCAAACGTTAACTCGAAAGATTGGTCAACAAAGAAAGCTTTTTCCGACTGATCCTATAAACCTCCTTGCACGAGGCATAAGGGATCGGTCGGAAAAGGCTTTCCTTGTCGACCGATCCCCATCTAGACTGCCGCTTTTTGCCGGCAAATTGCCGCTTCGGCAAAAAGCAGTGGCCATTTTTATTCTAATGAAGCGCGGGATATTTAAATCCCCGCTTCATTAGCAATTTCGGTATGTCTTAATTTACATCCCTCTGGCGACAGAGGGATGTAGTCTAGACATACCTTAAGGTGCCCCAGAGGACTACTCATTGCTCAAAGGGTTATACATTTTTTTCAAATAAAAGATGAACAAGTGCAGTATTTGAAAAAAGCCCATAGGAAACACAAGGAAACCCACTAAGCTGAAATGTTCAATTTCCACATAGCCCTGACTTTGAATTGCCCCATGTATGTGTTATAATTAGAACCAGACAAAAGCATAAGGGACACCTGACGTAGCTGACTTCTGCCTCTCTATCTGCAGTGGCCCACGTGTATTCAGTGATTTGGGGAATCTGTTCTTCCCATAATCCTTGGTCTGTAGCTCGGTTTTGAACAGTTTGGTGCGAGCATTCTAAATGCAGGCTGATTTGATTAGACACAGAACTCAGCTGATATTATTGCTGTTCCCTGATTGGAAAGGTGTGACTCTTTGAATCAAATGTTTCCGGGTGAATACTTGGGCCCTTTCCCCCCAATTGCCCTTAATTCAAATCGTATCGAGGGTCCCACTCCCAGCAGCATCAGTGGGGTTAGGCATATGCTTACTTATCATGTGCATGAGTATCTTTTTAATTCAGGTCTTGGAACGTTTGTATAATACTATCTCAAAACTTGCAGTGTCTATGAATATTCCAATCCGTGACCTTATATGCGGAACAGGAGCCCTTAAAAAGGGGGATATGAAAACAGCAGGAAAAAAAACCTGCTTTTCCAAAATGTGGCTATTTGCGGAATTATTTTGGGGCAGGATTTTCCAATATTCTAGCTGTAACATTCTTTTTGTGTTTGCTGTGCTGCGAGGAATCGTTCTGTGGATTCTTAAAGGGGCAATGGCAAATACCTTAGGCACAAGTTATAGTTTTAGTCTAGTGATAGAAATATAGTTGTTAATTTTAAAAGAAATCACTGAAATCTGTTGGGCTTTTTAGCCTGAATTTAAACTTTCCATCTTGCAATGTTTTGTACGCCTGTGGTTACAACCTTGGGTTTAATGCTTGAGAATCAGAAAATTGAATATCTTGGATAATGGAAGAAAGAGCAATAATGAGTGTGGATTTATATGATGAGACTCACCCTTGTGCAAAAGAGCTACCGAATACCCCTTAAGCTTTAAGTGGGAGTTTAAATGGTGCTGAAACAGATGAATTTCACCCACAAAGAATAGATCCCGCCAGAGAAACTGGTTACTTTGTGGTAGAATTGGAGTCCGCAGGGAGAGGGAGCTCAGTGAACATGACATATTTGGATCTTGGGAACACGTTTCATACAGTATCTATCAGAGGCCAGGAACAAAAAGTAGGTGCAGGATCAACTGATGAAGTCTGATCCTGATTTCATTTGGGGGGGATTTGTCATTGGATTCAGTGAGAATGGGATCAGATCCTAAAAGAGGTAATTGTGCATAACTTGAAGTGATCAGAAAGTTGGGGCATGCGAATTTGCACATGTTTAAAAGAAGGAGATGATTTTTTGGGGGGGTTGCTTGGAGCTGAGGGGCTGAAATGAAGGAAGAGAAAACTCCCACTGAAAACCTTTTCTGGCAGTGAGCACTGCAGCACCATCCTCTCCAAGGGATGTAGAAGTGCTACCCTTTGGGACAACAGAACTTTGCTATTGAGCCTAGGGGGACCTAGGAATTGACTCTGCTGATATCACTGTCCAAACAAAATGAGGCAGGCAATCAGCTCACTGGTAGCCAATTAATTAGCATTTTAAAATTCTTTGCTCTAATGATCTAAGGCTAAGTTAGTAGCAATGTATGTAGGGACAGTCCTGTGTCTTCCATCATTCCTTTTAAAGGACCATGTCTAAATACCTGGGTGCTCACATGCTTAGGCGAAGAATGCAGAGAAGTTTCAGATTGTTCCTACTGCCTCTTCAAAGGCCAATCTAATGTGTGCCTTTGAGGTCAATCACCCCACAGTCATATACTTTACTCACGTAACTAGCCCCTTACTCCTGCAATTCATTTCATTGACTCCACTTGCGGCTATCTATCTGCGTCAAGGTTTGAAGGACTGGGTCCTAACCTAATGTCTTAAAAGGAAGTTGAGCACATGTCCTCCCAGAGGGATGGAGTATGGTGTGATTTCAGGAAAATAGGGAGTCCAGAAAGTCTTTAAAACTGGAAAGGAAGTGCTTTGAAAATCCACCTAGACCAGGGGTTCCCCATACCCCCTTGGCTTTTAGTAAACCTTTCCGTACCCCCTATTCAATATGAAAGGAAATAAATGCTAGACTAGAATCCACAACTTTTTTCACTAACACTACTACTTTTGGAATATTTCAATTAGGATAATCTAGTTATTTATCAAATATTCCCCGTGCCCCCTTGACAAGCTTCTCGTACCATCTGGGGGTACACGTACCCCAGGTTGGGAACCCCTGACCTAGACTTTAAAAAAAAAAACAATCAAAAAACCCAATCCCTTGCTCCAACCTTGCTCACTGTTTTCTGCTTCTCATGTGTCCCCAAGGGAAAAGCTATTATATAAAAACAAGGGAGAATTTCCCCTGCAAAACTGAGAATAATAAAAACCTGCCATCAATCTCCCTTTACGGCTGTGCTGACCGGTCCCAGCTCTATGGCAGGCAGGCATGGAAGGTCACCCGTTCTCCTCCTGCCTCCGCTGCGCTGCCCAACGTACTCCACTTTGGAAATGGCGACCCGGCTGCCTGCAGGAGCTGATTTCAGCTTCCTTGTTGCCGTAGGAGTGTGTGTGTGTTTCCAATTCATTTGCAACGGAGCCGTATCCAAGAAGGGGAGTTCGTTAGCAACAAGGCGAGGCAGAATTCGGGGCATCTTTGAAGTCTGACGGCCTCGCTCTTAATGTATTTTGTCCAAGTTCACAGACTCCCCCTCCCCTCCCGCCAGCAGGTACACGCAGGCACAGAAAGCGAGGCCATGAATATGCATGGCCTGCCTATGCCTTTGCGTTCAGGGAGCTGCCGAACAGCTCAGTCGCCTCGCACGTATCCGTAATCATTTTAGAGCGTGCCTCTGCGGCTGTGTCTGGGCATAGACAGAGGAAGGCATTTTGCAGATTAGCAGCAATTTCAAGAGGGAGCAGCAAAGCTCCTAGAAAAGCCGCAGAATGGGGAAAGCCCTGATCCTGTGCCCACCCCGAATTCTGAACTCCCCACCTTCCAGTCGTTGGACTCTGCCCTTCCAGGTTCCAGCTTGGGGCAGAAAGGAGCGATCCTGTTCTCATAAGATTTCCAGTCTGGCTTTGCAAACCTAAGAGGTTTGGATGAGGGATGTAAAGGGTTAACTAGTTACCTGGTATGAGCATCACCCTTACTGGCATGGTTACCCTGGTAACCGGTTAACCAATGGGCCTGGCCAGGCTGGAGCAGCCTCTCACCTCCGGTGCAGAGCACTCCCCTGCCAGTTAACTGGTTACCCCAAAAGCAGGCTGATAACTGGTTAACCCTTTCCATCCCACTTTTAAAACATTATTTCACGTCCCTCGTTCGGACAGAGAATCTTCCAAATCCTTGGGTGTTTTCTCTGAACGTGGAGTGGAACAATTAACCCTTTCCAACTCGTCCATGGCTACTTTGTTGTTACTTTATACCGGTAGCCTCTCGAGGTCCCGACGAGAGCTGGTCTGCACCACCACGTCAGGTCAGCTCAACTCAACTACATTGCTCACAGCAGTGAAAAATGTCATGCCCCGTGCAGTGCAATTAAGTTGACCTAGGCCCCAGTGTGGACGCTGCAAGGTGAACAGAATTTGTCCATCCACCCAGCTATTGCTTCTGAGAAGAGTGCACTTATTCCAGCGATGAAAGAACCCCTGCACCTAGTAAGAGACCGACCCTGCCCTGGAGAGCTCACACTCACGGCAGATAAATGGTGGTCATGGGGGAAACCGAGGCACGGAGAGACTGAGTGACTTCTCCAAATTGCACTGGGCACCTTTCTCTCGAGTCGCTACCTGGTCCATTTTGAGAGGTTGGCTCTTTGCTTATTTTGATGCCACTGAGCCCCTCTGAAACATTACTGGACTGATTCCCAGCACCCTTTTGAGGGAGGAAACTGAGGCACGGCTAAGGGAAAGTGACTAGGACCCAAATTGCCAGCCTTCTTTATAAAGTATCAAAGATGCAAACAGCTGGGAGCTGCTCACCCAAGAGGTGATCGGGGCGTTGTCCTGAAGTGTCGACCTTTACAGTTTTGTGCAAGGGCTGTTCACAAGTCTGTGCTCCACGTTTTTCACTGTGAGGGAGTGGGTGGGTTTGGAAATGGCAGGGAGAAGGGGGTTCCCTCTCTGACCCTGTTGGTATCCAGATTGCTGCCTGCAAATAAATTGCCTATTGTTTTAAACTGCAGGCTGTTAAGGTTCTTTGGCAGAAGAGATCAGAGGCACAGGCTAACGCGATTAGCCTGCCCCAGTCTCACACATCCAAGGATAATTTTATTGGCGGTGGGGCTCGGGTGGGGGTGTGTGTGGCTGGTGTGTGCTGGACTGGGTCTCAAAACTGTTCATGTGACTTTGCTAACAAAGCAAAGCCATTGGCATCAATGCAAAGCAATTGCTGGCTGATCTTCTCAGGCCGGTTACGTTCTATGAGCCCCAACCGCTGACCAAGACCTCATGGTATTAGGCACTGTACAGACAATCCCTGCCCCAAAGAGCTTACAATTTCAATAGAAAACTGACAGCAGGTGGATAGACAGGCAGGTGGGGGAGCACCAGGAAACAATGTGACAATGTGAATATGAATGTGGGTTCTTTTTTGAGTGGTGGTGGCTATAGGCCCGATCAAATCTGCTCCTTTCTCTTTCAGAGTTCAACCAGACAGTCCAGGGTTCTGGAAATATGACAGACAAAAGCAGTCAGGATCAGCTGCTGTTTCTCTTTCCAGAGTTCAATCAGCAGAGCCAGGGCACGGGCCAACTCGACGATGCCTGCTCTGAAACCCCCAGCAAGAAGATGCGACGGAATCGATTCAAGTGGGGGCCAGCCTCACAACAAATCTTGTACCAAGCCTACGACCGGCAAAAGAACCCTAGCAAGGAGGAAAGGGAGGCCCTAGTAGAGGAATGTAACAGGTAAAATGGCTCAGAGTTGGCTCAAGAGACTGATTCCCTCCCCATAGCTCCATTGTCTCTGTTAGCTGCAGAGCCTTTGTTTTAAAAAAAAAAAAAACCCCCACACACTCACAAGCAAGCCAAATCCTTACAGTACTTCGCTTCTAGTGTGCACTATCGGAGAGAGAGAACCTGTTACACTTAACAGGAGCTTGGTTAAACAGTTCCACAGAAATTCTGGAGGAGATGTCCCCCTCCTTCCCTTCTGATCGATTCTGAGAGCAGGCCTGTACCTCCAGCACCACATCAGCACCGCTGTAGCACTTCAGAAAAGATGCAACAGGTTAAACCTCCCTAGTCCAGTAGCCACAGGACAAGACCTGTGCCGAACCAGAGAATTTGCCAGACCACGGGAGGTCCATATTGTGTAGCCGCATTAGGGTTGCCAGATGGTTTCAACAAAAATACCAGACATACTTGACATGACATGACATGACATCTTCTTTAGAAAATACCGGACATTTATATTTTCTCAATTTGTTTCCTGAAAAGAGCTCAAATACTGGATTATCCGATTCAAAACTGGACACCTGGCACCCCTAAGCAGCATTCCCAACACTTCCACTGCTTCCTGGACTCGTAAAAAACATTTAGGGGTAAATTAGAGCTAAATAACAGCAGAGAATACTGGTGGCGATAAACAAGTTTTATGGGACCGCAGGAAAGTGGGCCACGCCCTTGATAAGTGGACATCTGGCTAACTGAAATCATGCCGGTCCACAGATGTTGCTGGACCAGAGAATGCCGGATTAGAGAAGTTCCACCTGTACTATGCTGTCAGAGCGCTTCTCCTGTCCACGTACTTAGTGCACCTCTGCAAGAGACAGGGTGAGGGAAGCCCTGCTACACTGGGGGTTAGGCTGGTACAACTGAGTCACTCTGGGGTGTGGATTTTTCACGCCTTTGAGTGACATAGTTCTACCATTATACATTTAGAGTACAATGGCCTGAGCATAAATTCTTCCCTTCCGTGTAAGAAGATGCGATGGGCCTGACTAACGTGGATGGAATTTCCCCACAGTTTCTATATGTATATGCATGGGCATGTGTATTTCTGTTGATTTTAAAGCTCTGATCCAGAAGAGGGCCTAGCCCGGTGCATAACATTAAGGACCTGAGCAAGGCCACTGAAATAAAGTGGACTCCACCAGTGTTTACAGTTTAAGAAGATGCTTACGGGCCACAGGGTTTGGCTCTGAATCTCAGCTCTTTCACAGTGCAGGGGTAGCCACACACAGGTTGCTGGGGTTGTGCCCCTTCCAAATGCCGCCTTTAGCCTTGTTTAGGGAGGGGTGGAAAAATCACAACCACTCCCCCACCAGCCCAACCCTTAGCCTGTTTTTACACCCAGCGCAATATCAAATTGTTCGAAGCATCTGAGAACCCTTTTATTTGATGCGCTGTTTTACATGCAGCTTTGGACGAATGGGTGGTGGCCAGGATTGGAACTGCGACTGCAAGATGGAAGCGTGGGGAAGGAGAGGAAGAGTCTGTGGTCAGGGGCCTAGACTGGAATTTGTTACAGGGGTTCAGTTCCCCCTCTCCCTCCCCAAATACCTGGGTGACCTTGGGCAGGTCACATAGTCTCTTTGTGCCTCAGTTCCCTGTCTGTCAAAGATAACAGCATTGCCCTACTGATTGGGGTGTCATGATGATAAATACATTAAAGACCTTGAGGAGATGGGCCAGATAAGTACCCTACATGAATGGGTGACTTTGTAAACACCTACGTAAAATGCCTTGTGAAAGAGAGCGGTCCAGATAGCTGCTGTTTCATGGTGTGGCCTTGGTCAAGTCACCCAGCCCCATTCTGCCTCAGTTTCTCCACCTGTAAAATAGGGTCATTCCTTCACCACCTACTGCACAGAGGTGTCATGGGGGTTGAATTCACTCCTGTCTGTATGGTGCTGTGAGCCAGGAAAGAGTCATGGAAATGCTACACAGTGTTACAGGTTTTCGAGGGTGTCCCAGGGCAGATGGCGACTCATTCCAAGTGTTTTCTCCCCTCCCCACAGGGCGGAATGTCTCCAGCGAGGTGTGTCCCCCTCCAAAGCACACGGGCTGGGATCCAACCTGGTGACGGAGGTTCGCGTCTACAACTGGTTTGCCAACCGACGGAAAGAGGAGGCTTTCCGCCAGAAACTGGCCATGGATGCCTACAGCACGGGCCAGCCGCACAGCATGAACCTACTGCTGCCTCACAGCTCCCCCCACCCCGCCCAGCCCAGCGCATCGCCCCCCAGCAAAATGCCAGGTAAGCCGGAATCTCTCCCGGTGGGCGTGTCTGGGGCGGGAAGCAAGACTTTGGAGATCTGGCTCCGCAGCAGTGTGATCTGGAGCGATTTTAATCTGGGTCCCACACCTGTAAAATAGGGATAGATAGATCCCTTCCTGGACAGCTTGGTGGTTGTGTGGCTTGGTGCAATGTTGTCCACGAAGAGGAAGGGTGAGCTGGTTAAAGCATCAGACTAGGTCTAAGGCTATACGGCTTCAATTCTGCTGTCTGTGAGGTCTTTGTGACCTGGGTCAAGTCCCTCTGTGCATTAATTCCCTGTCTCAGGGAATTTTGGGGGTAAGGCTTGTGGCTTTAGTCTGTCTGGTCTATTTAAACATCTTGGAACCGGGGCTGTCTCTCTGAGTACGTTCATACAAACCCCGCTGCACAGTGGGACCTTGTGCCTTGTCGATGCTACTGAAACACAAATGAGAAAAGTGTGTGAGAGAGACCTGATGTAGGTTTATTATGCATTGATTGCGAATTGGATTTCAACAAGGTGGAACCTCCTTTGATTTTTTTTTTTTGGCTGATTTTTATTATATTGATTTGATTCCTTAATCTTGCTGGAACTGGAAAAGTAGTGTGTAGCTTGCCCTGCTTTGGCACTCGTAGGGTGTGCAACTGAATGTCATGGGCAAGAAAGGATGTGGCAGGAAAATCAGCCAAGAAGTATTTGATGATAAGCTCTTTGGGGCGAGGCCCATCTTTCTGTCTTTGTCTTGGGGCTGCGAGGGGGCTACCACAAGGCAAATAAATAACACAGGGCGCACCTCGATAAACCGGAATTCTGATCCAGCTGGGCCACAGATGCTTCAGGATCAGAGAGTCCCAGCGCACTGTGGGAAATGGGGGACCGTGAGCCCAATGCGATTCAAGCGGGGGCAGGAGCCCAGCATGCAGCACAGCTGGACTGCAGTTCAGTTGGGCGGGGGTGGGGGGCAGAGGGAGCCAGGAAGCCCAGCACAAGGCTCAGCTGGGCTGGAGGGGGGAGGGGAGCTGGGAAGCCTGGTAGGAGGGGGGGCCATCAGCAGGGAGACCAGAAATAATCTCCTCAGATCTGGAAAAATCCCTCATCTGGGACCAGGTCCTGAGGGTGCCAGACCAGGAAGGTCTCACCTGTGATAACAAGACTGCAAGATAAAGCAGACGGTTCCATCGTCCTGCTTTCAGGACACAGCACTATCCGCCCCGCTGTGTGAGCCGAGGAAATGTTTTATGTCAGGGGCAGAAAAAAGTCCCCCTGCAATAGCCAGGAGGTGCAAGTCACTCGTTCTGCACACCCTCGGAACACAAACCGGAGCAAGCTGACATGCTTTCTACCACTGGGCCCAATCAATATGCAACTGCCTCCTATTCATTTCGTGCCTAAACGGGACCCTCAGAATCATTCATCTGACCAGCGATGCGAGATCAGTGGGACTGCGGCAGCATAGGTGGGAGCAGAATTGGTCTCCCCGGTTGGTGAAATGCGCCCCGGGCGCTTTCAAACTGCTGCTCAGTCACTCTCTGAGATGAGCGCCGTCCCCATCTCCGCTGCAGAACCCCACACCCGGTGAAGCGTCCCGCGTTGGGGGCTTACTTCCAAATCCCAGTCTTGGCTGGTGGAAAATGAGGCTAAGAGTCACCCGCCCATGGTGGAGGGAGTCTCCCGGTCTGCCCTGTGCCAAGGAGTGGGTCTCAATAACGCCCTGGAACTTGGCGAAATGTGGCAATTTGGACTTGGCCTCTTTGCATTGAGATTTTGCATTTGCTTCGAGCCTAGGCAGGGGCACAGGTCCTGGCTGAGCTAATCCGTGGGTGTCTACCCCCACCGGGACTGCCTGTGAATACGAGAGAATGCTCACAGATGAGATCACAATGTTCGGGGCAAAGGTGGTTAGAGCCTGCGGGTGAGGGGGTGCAGGGAGGGCCATTCGGAGGAGCAGGGAGGGGGCAGAAGGAGGTTCTCCATTTAGCAATTAACATTTTGGCAAGGGCAGCGCACCTTCAAGTTGCTACCATGAACCACCTATGATTTGGGGGTTGAAAGAATGGATTGATCAGCGACTCACAAATAGCTTGTTAACAATTCACATCCCTAACTGGTAGGCACCACCCTCATTGGCTAGAGCTGCCCCTCCACCTGCAGGCAGGGGACTGTGTAACTGCCACTGGGTCCTCGGGAACTTAGCGTAGGAACCTCTACTGCTTGAGCTATAAAGCCAGCTGGCTCGGCTGAGGCTGGAGAGCTCCTTTGTTCTTATCTCTCCGCGGTAAGTGATCTAAGTGCCACTCCGTGAACCGCGCGAGGTGTGTGGGTTACAGCTGCTCCAGCCTTGTGGAGCCCAATGCAGGTGGGGGGGCACTCCAGCCCAGCCGGAGCAGCCCCCATCTATGTCCAGCCTGGCCTGGCCAAAGCAGCTCCCTCCTGCCCCTGTTTAATCAGAAAAACTACCCCTCTGAACCTATTTAATCAGTTAAACTTAACCAGTTCATTGGGATACATCCGAAAACAGCTGGTTAGGCCATTCAATGCCCTTTCTTCCATCTCAGCCTAACAGCTCATGGGGCTGCCAGGTACAGAGCTCCAGCTCTTCCCCCCCCCCTTCCTCTGCCCTTCCCCAACCCCACAGCATGCTCCCAGCCCCACCCCAGTGAAGACTCCTTTCCCGTGGCTGGCAGAGGGGGTGGCTGTGTGTTTGGGCACCCAGGCCACAGTGATGGCAGACTGAGGCTCTAGGGATGCCACCTCTGCCTCGCTAGCATGTCCCTCCACTTCAGGATAGTGACTCTTCGCCCCCAAAGGCGCCTGCCTCCTCAGGAAGGCAGAGGCGAGGGGTCTTATGGTTCAGCTCACTGGGTCGGGAGTCTGGGAAAACTGAACCATGGGCAAGTCACTTTGCTTCTCTGTCATTTTCCCTCTGCTGGGGTGAGCAGCGCTCCTCCTCACACGTGTCCCTGCGGGGCAGATAGAGCTCTTGGGAGGAGACACAGGGTATGGTGACGCGGCCAGCGTGGCTGTTGTAGGTGGCTGTTGTGCAGTCCACGCACGCCACCCCAGAAGGAGGCACACGGGAAGAGATTTTTAAGGCCAGATCTGTACTCTTGGGTTAGCTTGCCCACTTGCTGGCATAGTTTGGCCCTTGTGCAGCAGGGCAGAGCGCTGTGCCGGGCTGTGTTAGAAACAATGCAGGGCACTGCCCGGGATGGTAGCTAGTTGGCACAGGCCCGCTCCAGAATAGCTCATTCAAAGAAAGCTGCAGCCAGAATTGAATGTGTGAGGTGCTTTGTTTTGCCAGAGAGGACAGGGTGTTACCGACTGCCCAGCTCTGGCCTATATGGGCAGCCTCTGCACCATCCCCTGGCATGCTGGCCTTTCAGCAGCTCTTGAGTCAGGAGCTCTGGAAGGAAGCGATACTTTGCCCCCCTCTCTCCGTCCACCAGGCACAGAATTGTCCTCCTGCTTCTGGCCCAGCCAAAACAAAGCAATGATGTTTAATGGTCTCTTGGGCTGAGCAGGCTGGCCTGAAGACCTGGCTGCTGTCACACACAAACTGATTCCACCATGAAGGTCGGTGGAGATGCCTGCCCGTGTCCTATTCCTCTCCCCCCGCATCCCTGTTAAACTCATCCAGGTCCAGGAGACTGAACTTTTCTCCCTTTCCAGGTGATTTGCCTGGGATAAAGGGCCTCTCTCCGTGCTTTCCCCTGTCCCAGTTGGATTCGTCTCCATTTTCTCCTTCTGTAATTCATCTGAGATTTGCAGCCCAGAGACAGCATCGCTGTGGGGGCGAAGGAGGGGAGGGAGGGGGGAGCAAGAGGAAAAGAGCCAGCCTAGAAGAGAGTGGAGGCTAATCAGAGAAGTCCCTGATTTGAGCGAGTGGTGTGGGGCAAGAGGCATTGTTGGGAAAACAATCCCCATTGTCCTTGTACCTGTAATCTACACACCAAAGTCAGCAAGCTCAAGAGGCAAACAAAAGAGGGCAGCTTTCTGACAAGCACTAGGGTCGCCTGGGGGTCAGCGAGGGGTCACCAGCTCTCAATGTTGGGTCTTTCTGATGCTTCACTGAACAATATAGCATCCTCCTCTTTTACTAGAAAGAGACAATCAGAGCAATCCGTCCTACTTTAAATCCGGGGGGAGGCGAGGGGGCAATAAGAGCAGTCGGTATCTTGGAAAGCCCTCCTTAGGTACACAGTGTCTGTATTATTTAATAACAAGGAGTGGTCTTATGGCACCTTAGAGACTAGCCAAAATATATAGAATCACGAGCTTTTGTGGGCAAAACCCACTTCATCGGATGGATTGGAGTGGAGGAAGTGGGTTTTGCCTACAAACGCTTGCAATCCTATATATTTTGCCTAGCCTCTAAGGTGCTCACAAGACCACTCGTTTCTAAAGTTGCAGACTAACACGGTCACCCCTCTGGGATGTACAATTTATTGTATAGCATCCTAGAATCACCCATTACTTACAGACTAATAGACACAGTCCCTACCAGGCAGCTGACGCTCTAAGGGTAAAACGAAAGGAGAATGGGGGCAAAGAAATGCTTAATTTTTGCCTGGGCTTGCCAGGGCTGAGCCCGGCACCTCAGAGCTTGGCGTTTCATAGCCATGGGACATCTGGCCTTGCTGCATCTGGTATGACCGCTTGAGTCTGGGTGCTGTTTTCATTACAAATTAAGCAATGGAGCAAAGGTAAAAGCCGCACTGTCCAGCTGACTTGTTCCAACCTATAATGAGACCTGGGCCCTGACCCAAAGGAAAGGTGTTTCCAGTCTAACTCTGATAACTTCACTTTTGAATAAGAACTGGGTCTCTAGCTAGGGATCAGAGAAAGGGGGCTGTTTTCCCCAAAAGCCACTAGCGGCTGGAGCCCCATTGTTGACCTGCAAACAAAGCTAATTAAGGCCCGGAGACAGGGGAAGGTGAGGTCTGGCACATGCTTGTTGGAGTGATAAGGTGTCTCGGGTGGTCTCACCCCTCCATATGAC